AGTGCATCCGCCTCGTTCGCTGGCTCAACCGGAATTTGGTTGTGATTTCCTGTATAAACTTTTTGCGGCAAAGGACTTCCTGTCAGCTGGCTGTATTTACATATGGCGGTTGAAAAGATTGCCAGATCGCTTGCATTTTTGTTGCTTAAAATTTTTTACAAATTCACAATAGTGTGTACTTTTTCTTTACGCAGTTATACACGTTCAAGAAATTGATTTCAATTTGCTCACACACTTGAGTTGTCAAAAATCATTCAGATAAAAAGTCATCAAAAACACACAATAACTCACATCCCAAAGTTATGTTCAGCTGTTTAAATTTAACAAAAAATTGTCTATTGGCAAAAAGTTATGAACCCTTGTCGTATGTTAGTTTCAGCAGGTTTTGGGAAATCGCGATTGAAGTTTTGAATGCAATGCCTCAAAGACCCATAGGTGGACTCTCTCCAAAGTCTCGAAAAATGTTACCAGTTCACTTAAATTTTTAATTATGTTGTTTTTATTGTTTTTATTGTAATTATACATCGACACACAAAAATAAAGTGGTGTGTGCTTTTAAACAGAGCCATCTACCGACACGTATTCCAACCCGCCGAATACGAATTGAGGTCCGTTTGACTCGTACACCTTAAAAATTTCGAGTAAATTGCAAAGATTGCAAAATAAAAATGGCAAAAAATTAAATTTTTGCAATTTAGTCGAAATTTTGATTATGTACGAGACAAACGGACCTCGGCGAGTAGAACTACATGTCGGTTATTGGATCTGGTTAAATACACATACCACTTTGTTTTTGTTTGCACAGGCACACAAAAAAGTGGTGTGTGCATTTTACCAGACCCACCTATCGACATGTACTATGACCCGCGAATTTATGCCATTTTTCAGTTCTTCGCAGTTTACTATAAATTTTGAGGAAGTACGAGTCCAAGGGCCTCAGATTCGGATTCAGCGGTTCAGTAGGTGGGTCTGGTTAAAAGCACATACCACTTTTTTCTTTAATAAAATATGGTCATATAGTACTTGTGTCAAATGTTTTGCAGCCACTTTGTGTGACATACAACAAAATGTGATAAAATTGTTTCCTAAATTAGCGATACTTTTTAATCAATATCTCGGAAACTAAGCAAGATATCCAAAGATGGCCAGTTGAAAAATCTTGATTTGTTTATGATAACGGGGTTATTAACTAAATTTTTGCTAATTAAATTTTAGTAAATATGTCGGAAACTAAACAAAAGCTGATAACAAATGTCAAAATGGCGCTTACGGCAATCAATTATCCATTCGACGATATACATATATCTAAAGTGTTCTGCATTCATTCTCTTTGCAAGTCCAATCAATGTTTTGGCCGACGGATGATAAGTCCGAGTCGCTTTGACAACTTGGTCCCAACTCTGTCCCTGTTGGGTAGATTCATATTAGGAGCGTTCCTTATCTCCCAGAAATAGTCAGAAAAAGTCCGAAGTAGTCAGATTTAGTCCAAAAAGCGTTCCTTAACTCGGAAATGACAGCAAAAATGAGAGAGCAACAGTCAGTGAGAGTGACTCTCATCAGTCCGAAGTAGTCAGATTTAGTCAGAAGAATTTTTTCTGGCAAAATCCTGAAAAGTGTCAAACTCAACTGAATTTAAATTAACGGAAATTAAGGAATACGCTAAAAGTGAGAATAATCTAAAAAGTAAAAGAAATGAATTGAAATTGGAAGAAGGCAAAAAATAATTGATATAGCAAGTGTTTATTGTGCTTGTGCTTGTGTGAATGTGTTTTGTACATACATTTCTGTTCTTATTTGACGTTAGTTTTGTTGTTGCCATTCTTTGGACTAAAAATTTGGTTTTTTGCGTTCCTTTACTTTTCATGTTATTCTCTTTAAGTGAGCGCATTTTGCTTACGCTCTGGCATTTTGACACTTTTCAGATTTTAGTCCAAAAAGATAAGGAATGAACCTATTTTTGCGCCCTAAATTTCTCTCATACAAATGTTATGGTGCTATGCAACGTTGTTTGCCGCGAAAATCATTGTGCGTCCGGTAAAAAGAAGAAGCATCCGCAACAAATACATTCGCCAGCGATTGACTTTTCTTGGAAGGTGATGTGCTTGGGAAGATTACTTGAGGAGTTGTGAAAATAAAGCTAAAAAGTTTATTTACCACCAGCTGCAAAGTGTTAAATGCTAATTTGCCGCCTTAGTAGTATAATATAAAAAATGGCAACAGTTGAGGAGTTGAAAATTGATGATATGTCAGAGGCTGAGGTGAAGCCGCCGCCAGTAAAGACCACGAGTCTAGCCAGTGATTTGCGGCAGTTTCGCCTAAACAAATCTTCTCCTTCAGCTGGAAAAACAGGTAAGAATTATGATTCTCCCATAAATAAACTTCAGTGTGGAGATATGGAGGAAAATCTATTTTCTATTCCGTACTTAAACAGAGCGCGTTCCTGGCAAGAAACGTATACAGGTAATGGCGGATAGCGATAGCGATGGTGCAGCTGACAACCAAACGCCAAAAAAGGTAAAGAATGAGTTATCTGTGAAGGAGAAAGAAGACAGGTACTTGGCTGCGGTTAAACTAGCACCTGATTACGATGCTATGGTAAGCATACAACTTGATACAATATAGTTGCGTTCCCCAACTTTTCTGGGTTGAAACCTGTAAAACTGTCACAAAGCAAAAGAAGCCAGAGAACCGAGTACGGGAACGCTTTCTGGTAAAATCCTGTAAAGTCTTGCAACTTCTTGCGAATTAGGGAACGCAACTTATATTAAGAACTTAATATGTATGTAAGTGCATAAAATGTATTGCTTAGGAAATACAAGATTCGCTGGTGCGTAACGGCTGGAACGTTTCCGAAGGATTACGTTATCTAAAAGAACACTTTAAGACAAAATCAAATTCATATGCAAATAAAACATATGCAGGGAATAATGCCCGCACAAGTACCAGCAGTAGTAAACCCACGCAAAATGGCAGCTCTTCTCGTTCCAAATCACAAGCACAAAACTATTCCGATTGCGATGACTCGGACGATGAAGTCCGTGCATCAACCGATCAAGTATACGACAGCGAAGAGAGTGATACTGAATCGTCGAACGTAATGACAGGACAGCGAAAAAAAGTGTTTGATTTCATGAACAAAGCAACATTGATGGAATTATCAACGGTCAAAATGTTGTCCGAAAAGAAGGCATCCCTAATTATAGAACTGCGTCCATTTAAGGATTGGAAGGATTTACTAAAAAAGCTGGATTCCAATAAAGCGCTCTCAGCAGATTTGTTAAATTTGGCACAAGAATTGATTAACAAACAAAATAATGTTGCTAATATATTAAAGAAATGTAACACAATGGTTAAACGTTTGGAAGCAGCTATTGAAACTGGCGCAGGCATAGTGGAACAGCCGAAACTACTTAATAGCAAGTATGTAAAGATTCATGTCAAACATTTACTACCTTTAAAGTAAAATTATTTCACTCTACATTTTGCGAGCAATTTTTTTTTGTACCTCCTTCTTGTCTAGAATGAAATTGGCCGATTACCAAATGATTGGCCTCAATTGGTTGACGGTAATGCATAACCAAAAAATGAATGGTATTCTTGCCGATGAGATGGGTTTAGGCAAAACTATACAAGTTATTGCATTTTTGGCTTACCTTAAAGAGAACAATTTATCCAAAGGCGCACATTTAATTGTTGTGCCATCTTCCACGCTGGACAATTGGGAAGCTGAAATAAGCAAATGGTGTCCAATTTTGGTGGTGGAAAAATATTATGGCAATCAAGATGAACGACGGCGGATGCGCGTACGTTTTGCCAAAGATGGCTTTTCAGGTTTCGATGTATTGCTGACAACGTGAGTAACAAGTGTTTTAAGTATTTACTTTTCCATAAATTTAATGTAAATTTAACATATACACCTTAATTACAGTTACCATATAGTCAGCTCAACGCCAGAAGAGTGCAAAATGTTTCGTGTTTGCCGATTACATTATGTGATTTTTGACGAGGCACACATGTTGAAAAATATGACAACACTACGCTATGCCAATTTAATAAAAATTAATGCTGAAATGCGCATTTTACTCACTGGTACACCTTTACAAAATAATCTACTCGAATTAATGTCATTACTATGTTTTGTAATGCCGTCATTCTTTGCCAAAAGCATTGAAGATATAAAGAGTCTTTTCGCAAAGGTATGTTTTTGAAACAGGAGAAAGTTTGAATAGTTTTTGTTTTTTATAACTATCTTGCGGTTTGTTATAGATTTATAATCTCATATTTTGTTTTTCCTTTTTTTCTGCAGAAAGCCAAAGCCGAAGGCGCTGATAAAGATGCATCTGAGTTCCAGGAAACACAAGTTGCACGCGCCAAACGTATTATGAAGCCTTTTGTGCTGAGACGTCTCAAAAAGGACGTACTTAATAACTTGCCCAAAAAAGAGTCCTTCGTAGTGAGTATTACATTAAAACTAATAGGATTTTCGTTTATATTAAAAAATGTGCCCTCTTCGAGCAAAAACTAAAGGCTCTGTTGCTCTAGACTTAACTTACGTAAGAAACCGTCAATGATTACTCAACACGGCAACTTAGCCAGAAGCGAAAATATTTTTCTTTTGTATTTCTGTTGTTGTTGTTGTAGCAGCATACAAATTCCCCAAAGACTTTTTGGGGAGTGTTTTGTATTTTGTATTTCTCTTTTCAGCTGATGGTCACTTTGCCGCCTATAAGTACGGTGACCATCCATCCTGTATTATACGGGGCAGTCCTCTTGACCCATTATCCTGGTAATTCAATTATTTCATACGGGACGCCATACGTCCCGTATTCGGTGTTTCGACGCCTTAACAGCTCATTAAAATGGCATGCCTATGAAAGAGATTTAAGTGATGTTGGTATATGATCGTAATTTTCTCCATAAACAGTTATTATTTTCTAATCTGAATGCCTATGATTCTAATCGAGGAATACATACAGTGCCCAAAATAGAAATTAGGACAGGACATTTTAGTAAGTTTTGGCTATTTTTCCTTCGTTTATTTAATGTTTCTAATTTATTTTATGAAATTAAAGCTCTTCCTAACAAAAACCATATGACACCAAATTTCCAACTTTGTGCAAAAAACTAAAAATTAATTTTACAAGGTTTCACCAAGATTTCAAGCTTTTTAGTTAGAATCTTTAGAAAAAATTTGGTTTGTAGTTTTGTAATTTATTAAAATTGAGTATAGTAAAGTGCAAGTGGAAGGTGCTGTCATTTGCTTCTCTTTCAAAAAATGGTCGAATATACTTACTTTGTATGAAAAAAATGCGTAAAACCGTAAAAAAATAAATAAAAAATGCCAAAAATTGCAAAAAAATCAACAAATTTTTTTAACAAATTTTACGGGGTAAGAATCTCGAGAAAATTATCCTACAAATTTGTGATGTTACTAAAAGGATACTGTTTCAGGGCTAATACATCTAGGATCATTGAAGAAGGTTTTAAGATCTGTAAGCTGTTGTGGGAAAATTTGCAAAATTATTTTGTTGTTCCGTATTCGGCTCTCATAAATATGGTCACCGTACCTATAAGCCACAGCAAAAAAAAACAATCCTGACCAAAAATATGTTGTGTTGGCCAATATATTAGGTTACGTAACGTAAATTAAGTCTAGACTAACTGAACTTTAAGAGTAGGGCAACGGAAAGGTAAATTTTTTTTACATAAATAAAAACACCATAAGTTAATTAACAATTTAAAGAAATATAATTAAAAATGGGTTAATATTGCAGATCAAAGTACCGATGACTGAAACACAAAAACAACATTACCATGAATTAGTCGAATACTACTCAAATCGAAAGGGCGAGATTTGCAGCGGCGATCGGGCAGGTATAGCTATAATGATGGATATGCGTAAAACTGCCAACCATCCACTCTTGATGCGCCACTATTTCAGTGACGAAACATTACAGAACATTTCAGAGCGTTTAGCATGTGCGCCGTCACTTAAGAAAAACAATCCTCAATATATATTCGAAGAACTGGCTGTAATGTCAGACTTCCAAGTGCAGCAATTTTGTCATAAGCACGTAAGTCATGCACACTAAATTTATTTGTTCATATTTTTATTATTATTTTTAATTCCTAGGATTTATATGATATATCCATACCGCCCAGCTTAATCTGCGATTCTGGCAAATTTCAACACCTCGATACACTATTGCCTAAATTGAAAGAAGGGGGTCATCGCGTTTTAATTTTCAGTCAATTCACGATGATGTTGGATATAATGGAACAATACTTAAAGATAAGAAGACATGGCTATTTTCGCTTAGATGGTTCTACGGCAGTTGACGAACGACAAGACATGATAAATGATTTCAATGCAGACTCTGGTGTATTTATATTTTTACTATCGACTAAAGCTGGTGGCATTGGCATAAATCTGACGGCAGCGGACACTTGTATCATACATGACATTGATTTTAATCCGTACAATGATAAACAAGCTGAAGATCGTTGTCATCGTATGGGACAAACACGTCCAGTTACCATATATCGACTGATCTCTGAAAGCACTATTGAAGAGGGCATGCAATTGGTAGCAGATGAAAAGCTAAAATTGGAAAAAGAAATTACTGAAATCGAAAAGGGAGAAATACAGGAACAAAAATGTGTTGCAAGGCTACTAACTATGGCACTTGGATTAGATAAAGATGAGGAGGAACGTCTAAATAATTCCATGAATCACTCTTTGAGCCCATCCCAGTAAGGCGGTTATCAACTTGATTCAATACAAAGTACATAAATGAGTAGAGAAAAAGAAAAATAGAATGTGAGGTTTTGAAGGTCATCTATTGTTATAATTTTAGAAGTGTAAATTTTCGAATTGTACAAGCATATGATTCAAATAACTACTTTGTAACACATTCCTAAAGATTTTCCACGATCCAAGAAATAAAGTGTAATGTTGTATGCTAACGCGTAAAGCAAAAAATATTCAAACCAAAATGCATACTTAACACATGGAAAATGATAATTATTTACGTTGGTACGTGCAAATACAAATTTATGTGAACCGATTGAATAGTTATTCATTCATACATAGTAGTTCAAAGTTTGTCGGGAAACGCTATAGCTTCGCTAGTATTTTAAAATCATAAAAATTTGCTTATTTATTTCAATCAGTTTTATATGTTGGTCAAATAAAAAAAAAAAATATAAAAGTTCATATCTTCGTTGCAACAGCAGCTTCTTTTTAACATTTTGTGCTAAGTAAATAAATTGAAAGAAATTATGTCATCATAACTTAAAAAATACATACATATAAGAAATACATACTACATTTTTAAAAAATCAATAAAAGTGGAACGAAAGTATTCGACTACAAAAAAGATTTTAGCATTTATGTATTTTTTTTTTACGAAGCAGGTAAGTCTCAATTCCATTATTTTTTCTGTAACGCATTTAAATAGCCACTGCATACTTTCTGATGTCGTCAGAGTAACACTTACAAACATGGTTAGACTAGGTAAGCTGGCAAGCTACTGCGTGGCTTCGCTGAGACCATTAAGGTCAATTGGGTTACAAGATACACTACGATCCCAGGCAGCTAATCACTGAGCACCAGGAGCATTGTTGTTATTGTTGTTGTTGTAGCGGCACTACTAAGCCCCGCCTGTTTCGGGTCAACTTTTCAATCATTATCGTCGAGCTCAACTAACGGCAGGCCCAGGAAACGAGCTGTTTCGATGGGGTCGGACCAAAGGGAGAGGGGTGTTAGTTGAGTCGGATTGAGCTGACATGTGAAGAGGTGGTTGGTGTCATGGGGGGAGTCTCCACATGCCGGGCACTCATTTGGGATGTTTGGGTCGAGTCTGGACAGATAGCTGTTTAGGCGACTACAATATCCAGACCTTAACTGAGCCAGAGTAACGCGGGTCTCTCTTGGTAACTGAAGCTCCGTCTCTTCCACAGGTGGAGATTGGGCTCCGATAACGACATTCCTAGGCCTGGAGTCGAGGTAGGTGGAGACTGACTCCCTATGAATGTCGTTGATCGCTTGTCTGTACGTCATTGGGTCCAGTGGTTGGTCTGTGTAGGTCTGGACTGCGTCCTTGTACACGAATAGGTGCCCCCTGACGTGCCTGGGCGGAGGCTCCTCCTCCAGCAGTGGTCTGTTAGGGTGTTCACTTCTGTCACACCCCACCAGAAACTGCTTAGTGAGCATTTTATTGTGTTCCCGTACGGGGAGCACTAGGGCCTCGCTGTGTAAGTGATGCTCAGGCGTCATCAGAAGGCACCCAGTCGCTGTCCGGAGTGCGGCGTTCTGACAAGTCTGTAGCTTCGTCCACTGCGTCCAACTAGTCCCCGGTGACCAAACAGGCGCTGCATAGTTTAGAACCGGCCGGCCAATTGCCTTGTATGTTGCCAGCAACGTTTCTTTGTCTTTGCCCCAAGTGCTGCCGACGAGCGACTTGAGGACCTTGTTGCGGCTCTGTACTTTGTTGACAACTGCGGTTGTGTGCACGGAGAAGGAGAGCAGGCTATCAAAGGTAACCCCTAAAATGTTTGGGTTGTTCACCGTCGGTATTGGTGTGCCGTCGACGTGAATGCCTAATTCTAGCCTGACCTCCTTCGTCCAGGTGGTGAAGAGGGTCGCCGTTGATTTCGTTGGGGAGAGGGTTAGGCTCCTTGCAGTGAAGAAGCGAGAAAGGCTGGAGAGATAGCCGTTTACTTTTGAGCAGAGGTCATAAATTCCATTCCCGGACGCCAAAATCGAACAATCATCAGCGTACGAGATCAGGGAAACTCCTTCAGGAGGCTGGGGGAGTTTCGAGATGTAGAAGTTAAAAAGTAAGGGGGAGAGAACACCACCTTGTGGAACCCCTTGTTTTATTCTTCTTGGTTTCGAGGTTTGATCTCTGAAGATTACTGATGATTGTCGACCACTCATATAATTCGCCGACCATCGCTTCAGTCCCTGTGGGAGAGAGGAGGCCTCAATGTCTTCTAGCAGCGTGGAATGGCAGACGGTGTCAAACGCCTTTGACAAGTCCAACGCTACTAGGACAGTTCTCTCACAGGGGCGGTTGCGATTTAGGCCACGAGTTATCTGGGTGTTTATGGCGTTAAGTGCTGTTGTTGTGCTGTGCACTTTACGGAAGCCATGCTGATGTTTCGCTGGGGTTAGGTGGCAGGTGAAGTATGGGAGCAGCAGGGCCTCAAGTGTCTTCGCGACCGGGGAAAGGAGCGTTATCGGGCGATAAGAGTCTCCTCTGTTGGCGGGCTTCCCCGGTTTCAGCAGTGGGACCACTCTCCCTGATTTCCACACATCAGGAATGATGAGAGTGGTCATAGACAAATTGAGGACCTCCGTGAGGTATGCTACTCCCACAGGCCCCAAACGTTTCAACATCAGCATACAGATTCCGTCGGGTCCAATGGCTTTGGAGGCTTTCGCCTTCCCGATGGCCCCCTTCACCTCACCGCTGGTGAAAACAAGTGGTGCACTGTTTTTGGGCAGTTTGTGCAGCCTCCTGGTCACTCGACGTTTGGCCTTGTCTACCGAAGGATGCAGCGTGAATTGCCGACTAAAATAGTTCGCGCATTTTTTCGGGTCCGATGAGCCATGACCTTCGAATGAAATTTCCACTCTGTCATCACGCTTCGTCGGGTTGGACAAGGACCTCACGGTTGACCAGAGCTTACTCACACCAGAGGTGAAGTTACAGGCCTTCAAGTGCTCTTCCCACTTTTTCCGCTTATGTTGATTTACCAGTTGCCGAATCTCCAAATTAAGGTCCCTCAAGCGAGGGTCCCCGGGGTCGACCTGGCGTAGGTGGTCACGCTCATTTGCTAGAACAGCTCCTTCAGCCGGGAAATTTGGGCGGACTTCCGCGATGCGTCCGGACGGTATGAAGCGAGCTGCTGCGGCAGTGACTACCCTGCGGAACTGGCGTTCGCCAGCATGTACGTCTGTGGGTGTGGGGAGGGCGGCGAAGCTGCTCTCGGTAACTTCCGCGAAGCCGTTCCAATCAGCTTTGTTAAAGTTGGTGTAGGTTCGGTGGGCTTATTGATCGAGATGATTATGGGCAGATGGTCTGATGCTAACGATAGCATAGGTCGCCATGATATGCTATTTATCAGACCAGCGCTTGCAATTGTTAGGTCTGGCGAGCTGCTGCAGCTGCCCACAATCCTGGTGGGGGCGTCGTCGTTCATGGTGCAGAATGTCGAATCGTCTATCTGCTCAGCCAAAATGTTTCCCCTCCGATCATTGGTCAGGCTTGAGTGCCAAAGATCGTGGTGCGCATTGAAGTCACCTACTACCAGTCGGTTTTCGCCTCTGAGTAGCGCACCTATGTCAGGGAGATATCCAGCCGGGCAGCAGGTGACAGGGGGTATGTACACGTTAAATATTTCGAGCTCGACATCGCCTGACCGGACAGCTATGCCCTGACATTCTAGGGTGGTGTCCCTTGGGTCGATGTCTTCTTCGATTAGCCGATACTGCACTGTGTGGTGTAGAATGAACGCTAATCCTCCACCATTATCTCGCTCGCGATCTTTACGGAGCACATTGTAGGCGGCGCAACCCAGCAAAGTTGAGTTGCTGTGCAACTTCGTTTCTTGGACCGCAGCTATCAATATGCCGTGCCGACCCATGAAGACTGCTATCTCCTCAATCTTGCTCTGGAGTCCGTTGCAGTTAAGTTGGAGTACGTTCGTATGCCTTGGGAGGCTGGTCGCGATACGGGGGGTGAGGGAAGTGTGGGGCCTACCGGCCTGTTGCGCATGACGCAATTGCTGTTGGTGCCTGATGGTAGGTGGCTGCGATGTGGGCGTTGTTGTCTGCGCCGGCGGTGCACTACAGCAAGGGGCGCTGTAGTTGGTAGTCCACTCGCGTGTGGTGCGTAGACCAGAACATAGCCGGAAGTGGCACCATCCAAGGCATGTGTTGCATTTGACTGATGTCACATTCCGGTATATTCTGTTCTGGCACACGGAGCAGATGGTGTGGGCAACCAGCAGCTGCTGGTTGGCTCGCGCTCGCGAATGGGACCGGCCGGTAGGTTGTGTGGGTGGGGGGTGTTGGGAGGTTTGCTGTTGCTCAGGGGAGCTTCTAGGGGCCGTGCAGGCTCTTCGGGTGCTAGGTCGCACCCGTGCATTACGCGAGTGGGTAGCCGTGGAGGCTGATTGTGCCATTTGGCTTGAGCAACAGGGAGCCACAAAGTTTGTGGTCCACTCCCGGTGAGACCTAAGGCCAGAGCAGGTTCTTAGGTGACTTCATCCGTTGCAGGAGTTGCACCTAACCGAAGTGGAGTTCGGGTGGAGTCGATTCTGGCAAACACAGCAGAAGTAAGTTTCAGGTCCGGGGTTGGGCTCTACGCCCGCCCGGAGAAGAAGGATGCGGAGCAATCCGGCTGCAAGGTATTGCTCCATGGACGAATAATGATTGGTGGGTATCGCCGATCTAGACGGGGTTAGATCGCCGAAACAACAGCCCTTGGTCGGGTAAAATCCGAGTCATTCCGGTACGTAGAACCGGCTGTCGTGGGATTGTTCAATATCATCGCTGTCCATTCTCTTGGTAAACTAAAACATTCTGTTGTACCCTATTTTGGCACCGGCGTCCTTATTAGGCAGAAAGCCTGCTCCCAGGAGATTATTTCGCAGTCCCCTAAGGTCAGGATTTCCATTTTCGTTCTGCATCTCGTTCAGATCCTAGTTTCCGACAGAACGCCGTCTTTGGCGAACTTGTCGGCCTCCTCGTTGTCCGTTACCCCGGTGTGCCCCGGCAGCCAGTACAGATTTTTATGTGTCCAATCCAGTATGTAAGTAGATTGCTGCTCGGTAGCTCTACCGCCCTCCTTCTGGCCAATCCTTTCGCCTAAAAATGTTGCACTAGTCCGGCGGCGTATAGGATGCCTTTCTCCATCTTCGACCCGTCTCTATAGGCGTTCACCGAACCAGCACTCCTCATGATCTCTCGCCAGCCATCG